AGAGCTCGATGCCAGTTGACGTGCTTTTTGCGATCCCGGGCCACCTAGCCCAGCAGCCAGCTGCATCCAGCATGTGCACTGCGCGCGCGCGCGAGAGAGAGCGAGGTGCATCTACTGGTATTTGCATAAGCTACCTTACGGATCAGGTACTTCGTACCCCTCCCCTCCTCTCTGTGGAGAAACATCGGTTTCCGAGATTCCGGTCCGATTATCGTCGCGGTGATTATCTCGGCCTCGTTCAGACTCGCGCGGTAATGGCTCGCTATTCACACACACACACACGCGCGTACAGGGGTTGTTCGAATCGAAGTCACCTTCCTCTAAAAGAAGAAAACACTCACCCTTCCCACGAGTGCCGTCAAAGTCCACTTTGCCATCTGGGGTATGTAGTTGACTGAAGACGGCCAGCTAGGCCGATCAGCTATCACCATTGCACAATTCCTTGTCATACCGTAAATGGACTCACAAGTGAGACATTTGCGAACTACTGAGGTTGTTGTCGTGAATAATGTATAGCGGCAACGATGCCACTCTCACCTGTCTCCTAAGCGTCAATACTCACGACAAGGACACCGAAGATTGTACGTCTCGGGCCTCGTTGCTTTCGACGGTATGCGTCTTTTGAGGAGACGGTTTGCTGGTAATGGCGGTGACACGACAGCGGCGACAAGTATATGGTATCCCTCAGTATTCTGCTAGATCCAGACGAGGTTTTATTGCTGAAATGGTACTCTTCACAGCGGGACTGGGACAACCATCAAATTGCAAGTGAAGATGTTTTTGAAAGCAGTGCTCAAGCAGGGGCTAGGTTGTTAGACCGGGGAAGGGAGAAGGGGTTTGCGTGACTGGGACCCTTGATACCGAGGCTGTGAAGCCCATCTCTATTACTCTTGATAGATATTTCTAAAGATCCTAAACGCCGTGGGGTATCTCATAGCCATTGCCTAAACGCCATCAAAGCTCATCATCATCACTGTCGTAGATGAAAATCGGCGTCCGCTTGGGACCACCGCCGTTCTCGGCCACAACCGTCGACTTCCTCTCCGCGTCGTCTTCCTTCTTGACGTCCTCTTCTTCCGTCTCCGTGCTGCTATCATCAATCATCAGGTTCTCCTGTTTAGCCTCCACCTTGACCACAGTCCCAGGCTCATCCTTCACCTCGGCCTTAACCTCCTCCTTCACAGCCGCCTCCTCCGCCTGCGTCTCCGCCTTGACAGTCTCCTCCGCCAACAACTTGCCCTCGCGAATCTTGTAGAAGGATTCCAGGCAATTCCGCCTCTGCGCCTGCGTCCAGCTCCCGACGACCAGCGCAAACTCCGTAGCCGTCGCGAACCCGAACTCGCGCGCCATGGAGCAGAATTGCCGTCGCATGGCGTCCTCTGGCGGATTGTAAACATAAGAGAAACCCTTGAGCTTCTGCGCCTGCGCGTCAAATACCTGACTATCCGCAAACAGCGCGCTGTCGCCCTCCCCTTCGATATCGGAGCTGGCGGCCATCTCCGCCTTGCGCGAGAGCTGTTCCTCAATCTTGGACGTGCCAATCACTTCCGAGTTCTCGTGCGTGTACTCGACGCCTGCCGAAGACAGGATAGCCTGGACGGCGTCGCTCTTGGCCTGTTGATTCTTTGCTTTTTCGCCACCAGCTTTTGCGGCGAGGAAAGCTGCGAGCTGGCCCATGTCACCGTCTTCCGACGCGTCCGCCGCACCCTCTAGCTTCACCTTGCCCAGCTCCTCGCCTTCCTCCTTGGCGAGCTTCTCCATGTCGACGGTGGTCATTGCGATACCGCTCCCGGCTTTCGCTTCGGCGATGTTGGTCTTGTTGACAATGTCGCGGATCACAAGCTGGTTCTCGCGGTACGTGAAGAGGTTCTCCAACCCAAAGATCTCACCTTTGCGCTCAGAGTCCTGCTGGACACCTTTGAAGTAGCGTCGTTCGGATGAAGCTGTGTAGCCAATGTTTGCTTGCTGCTGCTTGTAAATCTGTCTCGCGTAGACAATTTCCTCAATGGTTCCGGTAGAGACGAGCCGAAAGACGTCAACATCCCGAACTTGACCGATACGGTATGCTCGATCTTGGGCCTGGAGATCGTATGACGGATTCCAATGAGGATCGACAATGACTACCTTGTTCGCAGAAGTGATGTTCAAACCAACACCACCAGCTTTGGTCGAGATCAAGAAGACGAACTGAGTCGGGTCAGAGTTGAAGTCATCCACAGCCTTTTGTCTGTCCTCGTAACTAATCGACCCGTCCAGATATGTGACACTGTAGCTGGTGTTGTGGAAGAGATGCTGAAGAATGCGAAGCAAGCGAACGCTGTGCGAGAAGACCAATACTTTGTCGCCGCTGTCATGCCAGAACTTGAGGAGCTTCTTCAAGACCTTCCACTTGCCGCAAAATTCCGGGTTAGCCAGGTTCATGATCGCGTCTCTATTTTTGTAGAGGTATTTCCACGTGTCTGGGCAGCAAGTCTGTAGCGTGCGCATTTCTCTTTTGTGCTTGTCGTCTTGCTCGTTTCCCGTAGCCGGAATCAGAAGGGTGAGGTGATTCGACAGTTTCTGCAAGGTCGTTACGCAGGGGAAGATGATGGACTGCCACCCCGTACCATCGTCAAGAGTCTTGCGACAACACCAGCCTTGCTTGTTGCCAGAGCCACATTCACATGGGTCGGACAGGGTGCGCAGAAGTTCGACTTCAGGCCTACTGATGAAGTTCTTGTACGCTTCCTGCTGCTGGTCCGTGAGAGGGCAAAAGACGACTCGGTCGCTCTTCTTGGGCAGCTGGTGAGCGATCAGTGTCTTCATTCTGCGCAAGAAGAAGCCCGGGAGCAGATTCGTGACGAGCTTCCTAGCGGTAGTTCGAGCGTCCCGCAACTGGTTCAGAGTCGCATCGTGGGATTGACCCCGTGTCAGAGGTCTGGTGATGGTGGTGTTCCATTCCGATAGTGTGCCAAAATGGCCAGGGTTGGTCCAGTTCAGGAGAGTCCACAGCTCCTCGTATTTGTTTTGGATCGCTGTACCTGTCAAGCCGATGCGACACAGCGCATTCACGTCGTTCATTGCTTTGGTGACCTCGGAGCTCCTTTCCTTCATTTGGTGACATTCGTCGGCGACAACCGCGTCCCACTTGACGGTGTTGACCAAGCTCTTGTGATTCTTGTACGTCGAATAGGTCGTTATCATGATCTCAATCCGGCCTGCTCTGGCAGCGGACAGCACGTCCTCTTTTCCCGCGCCGTGGAAAACGTCGACCTTCCACCATCCCCAGCGAGTCAACTCATTCTTCCAATTCTCAATGATGGAGCCTGGACAGATGATCAGAACGGTCGGGTACCAGCGACCGGACACATCACGGATCTTCCTGAGCCGCTTCTTGTCCCGCTCATCGGCGGTTTTGCCAAAAGCTGCCGTAAGGAACGTCGCAACCTGGACAGTCTTGCCGAGGCCCATGTCATCTCCGAGAATCCCTCCCCTCTGGTAGACGAACAGACGGTGCAGGAACCTGACACCAACGATCTGGTACTCACGCAAGTACTGCGCGATAGACGCCGGTATGATACCTGCCGAATACTCGAGCTCGACATCTTCGTACGGCCTGCAGGGCTTGATCTTGGTGCTCTCGTCGAAATGTGGACGCCGCTCGAGGTTTTCTGGTCGATCGTCTTCGGAGAATACAATGTCTGAGTAGTCCGGTGGTAGCAACAGTCCTGCTTCCTGCAGTCGCTCCCGGGTCTGGTCGAATTGTTTCCTTCGTTCTTTCAAATAGTCTGGCGCTTCCGCAACATCTAGATCGTCCTCCTCTTCGGTATCATGGATCTTGACTACGCCGTTCTTCTTGGATGGACGGTCCTTGCCCTTCGCCTTATGTTTCTTCCCCTTGCCAGTTGCGGCTCGCCGCCCCTTCTGTTTCTTGGGCTTGGGGAGCTCCAAGTCGGAATCGGCGTCCCAAACCTCCTTCTCCTCAAAATCGATGTCAACCTTTCGTTTCCCGAGGGCTTTATTGCTAGGATGTTGAGGTTCGTCTATTTCCGATACTGCCTCGCCATCTGATATTACTATCGCGTTTTCCTCGACCGGTCGGGTCATTGTGGATGCGATCGCATGAATCGCATGGCGTCATGGGTGTGAAGACAAGATGTGAGGATGGTAGGGGTTTGTGAGTGACGCGACGGGACGCGACAGACAAGGTATTAGCACCTTGGAGGAAAGTTTCCAGGTGCTACAGGCCTAGGCAGCGCTGAAGGATGTGGAGCATGCAACTGGAGATGTCACCACCTCGTTTAAACGATACTACTGTATTAGTACGTACTCTGAGAACTATATATTATAAACCGCTTCAATCATCGGTTTAGTCCACAACTCCGTGAGGGTCCGGGATTCTGGGGCGAGCGGAAGTCACCCTGCCGGCCAAGATGCCACCGAGGTTTTCGGCGAGTTTTTTCATACTCCTCGCAACTCCTGCTCTGCTCGTATGAGTTGGTGAACCATGGGTTGCGTTTCATCTGCACAGCACATCTCAGAAAGACGATCTCACTCTGGCGTCACGCCTGAAACTGAGTCTGCTTGGCTCTACGTGCCTCTGAGATGGGTAATGTCATACGAGCACGTATGCGGAGACTTCTACTCAACTGTGTCTAATATTGGCTCTGCAGTCGTCAGGATTCAATATCTGAGTTCTCTCCAGGATTGAAAAGTGCAGAGAGGATATAATCGTTTGAATCTCCCCTCAGGCACGCAAGACTTGCCATGATCCAATTGGAAGACAATTAGTTATTGGAAGTCTATGTAGAAGCCAGTCCCTTAACCTGGGACCTTGTTGCGGAAGATGACATTGTTAAATCAGCACAGCATTCTTTTCTGCACATACACTCTCCAGTTCTCAACCCATCCTTTTGCTCCATTTGGGTATCAGTGTATACAAAATCAGACATGATGGGGTATGCTTCAATGCTCCAATGCCAAATTACGCGCCAACCACCCTGTGCCCAGGGTTGTGTCACTCATACCGTCTCAATGCCTTTCAAGCTTTTCGTGCTCGTATCGCCGCTCTGCGTTTCCAACTCATAGGTATCCCCTTTACTGTAGGAACCCGCACGCTCGGCACATTCCCTTCGGTACCCCGCCTCTTCCAACTGCTTTGCCGCGCTGGGGCTGCGTAATACATCCCCTTCCTCCTCATCAATATACTTGAGAACCATCGTCCCCAGCCAGTTCCCAAACCTAGCGTTATTAGGAGGCGTCCTCGGACCGCGCAGCCGATCGTAGTAGTCGCGAATATATGGGCCGCGGCGCCAAAACGCCCTTGTGAACAGCGGGCTCAGGACCGGCAAGGTGACGGTGATGAGTCCGACGGCGGTCTCGCGGAACCCCCAGCGGTTGATGTTGATGACGGACGGCGCACCGCCCAAGGTCGTGACCGCACGAACGATGGCAGTCGAAATGACAAAGACGCCGGACGAGAGCAGGATGCCGACGCCGATCTTGCGTCTAAGGGACACGCGGAGGTGCCAGAGAATCGGAACGGGGATGGAGAGGAGGGCGGCGTCGGTTAGAACGTTGAGCCATAGCAGCATCCAGAAGTTTTGTGGTCGAAATGTGCACTCTGGGCCTGGTAGAGGTCGGATTCGCCAGTTGTCGGAATAGCTATTCAAAAGTGTCAGGAAAGCGATCGCGGTTATCATTGGGGCTACGCACGGTTGGCAGCTGAGTGTCACGGTGAGACACAGCACGACGTAGGATAATCCGCAGATCCAGAACAATGCGACAAGACTCCGTCTTCGTAGAATTCCGAGTGTTAGACGCTTGTAGAAGAATAGTACGGTGAACTTCAAGACCCCTAAGAGTTACGGGTCAGGCCGGAGTGTCAACTTGGGTGTAGGTGAAGCTTCTTACAGATGCAACCTTTAATTAACGTTAGTAATCTCGAATGATTCGAACAAGTTCCGATGCGTCAGGTATTACTTACCAGGGTACGTGTACCATGACATGAACTCCAATTTCGATCCCAGCTGAAGAACTGCAACATCGTGATCCGACAGCGACGGTACTGCATCTGAAGTGATGTCGATATTGGCCCCTGTGTAATAGCAGATTTGGACTACGTAAACATTGATGCTGTATAACACGAGATACTGTAGCGCATCAATACCAATGCCAACTTTTGAAAGATGTGCTCTTCCAGTAACTCACAGGTAAAGCCAAATAATCGTCGCCGCGGAAGCCTCGAATCCCGACGGTACGGACACGAACTGCGAATCGTAGGAGAATTATGAAGACGCCGATGGCATACCAGGCCTGCCAAGCAATACCCATTAGCTCTAGGCGTGTTGATTGAAGGCCGGGGAAACAAGAGGGGAGCTTACCCAGACTTCGGGCAGATAGCTGTCGTCTTTTTCCAAGTGCACATTTGGACTTGGCTCCAACATGATCTCGTGTTGATTGTGGCGAGCATCCGCATCTCGGTCGGTGGATGGTCAATTACAATCGATGGGAAAGCTGTGGTGGAGTAAAGAGGGCAGACAGACGATGCAGAGGAACGATCCAAGGGCATCCCCCCTCACACATAAGGTTTGCTCGTTGCAGTTCCGGGCTAACCCCCTCTCCGGCGATCCCAAGCCGAATAAGACAATGAGCATGGGGGGATCTTGCGGGCGGGACAAAGAATAGCTTCCTTGGGAAGAAATCCAAATCGAGCAACGCTAATCGGAGGGCGCCCGGACAGAAACTCTATTTAGTGAGGTTGCCATTGGCACGTTGCTGCCACCGGCAAGCGATCAAAGATCCAAGGGAGCTAAGACATGGGACGCGGCACTCGGACCTCTTCGATCTCAAATAGCAACGTGGGTGCGAGAGTCATGGTATACTGGGTATTAGGCACTCTTCTTGAGGCTGAAGGTGCAATTCGACCGAGCCCGTCGTCTGGAGATGTGACCCCCGGCTCGCCGGCTTTGTCCTTTCCGTCGTTGATCGATTGGTGATCGACTTAGTGTAGATCGGTCGGATAGACCAGTCTCCCACATCACGGACCTTTCGGGACGCCACGTGGGAATCTCCTGAGATGGTTTGCGTCCTTTCACAACAGGCTTGAACGATGACACGTTGAACTTTATTATTCTTGCATATGGGCAACTGCAGCCTCCTAGAGCTTTGAGTGAGGCGCTTTGCTTGAGCCCGATCTACCATAGACGATGGTGAAGTTCCTTTCCAGTCTGTCTTGTGTGCCAAGCTGCGGCTCATCTGAAGTTCCTGGAGTCGGTCTCCCAAATGTCTGACCACCACAGCGAGCTTGGTGGCGGGAGAGAACGTCGAATGCTGCTTGGCTTCCGTCTTTCCCATAGTCTTCGTGGAGCAGCACGCCAATGAGCGCTTCTGCCACGGCCCAGAGGATGTGTCTTGCATCCCCAATGAGATCTGCTTGTGACTTTTCCATCAGGGAGGATTTGACTGCACTCCACGAGTCTACCGGTTTCCATCCATTGGGCTCTCCTACCGCATGATTTTGGGCAAAGAAAGCATCGAGGGCGACCATGGACTCCTGTCCTCCCTTTGGATGCTTCAACGCTCGCAAGAAGTCCGTTGCGAGGACATCCGTAGTGCCCTCCCAGATCGACAGCACGCAGCAGTCACGGTATAGTCTGGCGATGTTTAGATACTCGGTCTCCTCGTTCAGCATGTATCCGACACCTCCGAGAGCCTCCATGCAACTGTACAGCAGCGGGATCGACTTCTTGCAGACATATGCCTTGCAGAGCGGTGTCAGGATGCGCAAAAGGGGCGCAATGTGCTTCTGGTCTGGCGTGATAGCAGCAAGAGCATTCGATAGTCCAGATCTGTCCGCTTGAGGATTCTCGTCTAGTCCCAAAATGTATGCCGTGAAAAACGTCAGCAGCATGAGACCGTGATACTCCCCAGTCATCTCCGCCAAAGTCTGCATATGTAGCGGGCTTTCCGCCAGAAGCATCCGCTGACCCCTTCCTGCGCCGACTTGTCTGACTTTGGCGTACGCCCTCGCGATAGCTAGTCCTCGGCCCACGTATCCTACAGCACCTACGGCGGAGTGTATGCGCGTGAGCGTGAGAATGGTGCTGATCTCGTTGATGCCGCGGCCCTCCTGGCCCAGGAGCCACCCTCGCATGCCATCAAGCTCGAGCTCGGCCGTGGGGAGCGACTGCGTACCAGACTTGTTCTTCAGTCGTTGGATCCGGACACCGTTCAGCTCCGTTCCGGCGGCGCCCTTGGGCCGCCCCGTCATTGTGACTGCCGTGGGGTTGTGTCGCCTCATTGGTGCGAAGAAGGCACTGATGCCGCTTTGCGTCCTCGCAAGGAGGACGGTCATGGCAGAGTCGGTGGCGCTGGAAAACCACTTGAATCCAGAAATTGACCACGGGCCTAGAGGGATGTTCTCCGCCGCGTTTGCCAGCGCTGTTTCCGAGGACGGAGTGTGCTGGGCAACTGTTTCGGTGAGGGATACATCGCTTCCGCCGATTCGCTCCGTCATCCACTGCCCGCTAGTCCAGGCAGTTGTTGGATCCCGTGACAGGAGATGTTGAAGAGCATTCTCTAGTGCCATTCGTTGCGTTGGTTCGATGTCTCTAGATAGGTGAAGTTGCAGGAGCCGAGCGGCGCCATCTTGCATAGCCGATGGGCAGGTGACGTTCGAAGCCGAACTCCCCCATAAGTGAATCCTCAAGAACTGCACTACGCGGGCGGAGGAGCCGAGTGAGGCGTCGTACCCTGTAGCGACGATGCCCTTTCGAATGCCAAAGTCTTGCAAGCTGCGCCAGCCTTCGCCGACGACCAGCTCGGATGTTGGCCGCCCAAAGGAGTCACGGCCGCTGCCCTTTAAGTACGGCTTGTTCTTCTCCGAGTCTGTAATCCAGGAGAAGACTTGGTCGGATAGCACATCCTCGCCGAGTTGCGCAATGTCGACTTCGACACGCTCGATGATATCCTTTGGTAGGAATACTAGATAGGTTCAGAGACATGGGACGAAAAGAGTTTACTGGGTCAGTTACGTACGCCTCAAGGCCCTTTGAAAGCTGGCATCATCGAAGAATTGGTTCGGCAGAACCGGGAGTTCCTGGAAAAAGCCGGTATTCGAAGTGGATGGTTTCATGGCGGCGTATCTCGGACACTAAGATCTTTGGCAAACGGTCACGGTGGTTGAGAGGCTTCAAAAACTTGAAGACTGCCTTGAAGCTCCTAAAACCTCAGGTGAACTAGGAACAGGTGTATGGCCACAGAGCCCCAGATTCAAACCCCAGATTTGGGCCATGTGAGACATCCGCCGGGCCGGTAATTTGTGGGGTTACCGAGGGACCCCACAAAGCAGAAGCCGACGATGGACCCACAAAGTGCCGAGAAAGGCTTTCCTGGCCCGAAAGCTGTCTCGGCCGAGTCTCCGCCACGATCCCATCTCTGCGAAGCATCTCCATCCCATCTTCAATGGAAAGCCAAGCCTCCCGGTGGTCGGCTCAACAATGATCCATCAAGCTGACTTCCACTGGCAAGCTCGGCACGGAAGCTCACATCGCTGGTCTTGGACAACATCATATCCCCAATCGAACGCGTGGACGCGATCCACTCACCGCCAGATCGAGCCGACAAGCCTCAATCTCACAAACTAGGACCATCGCCGGACATGCGCTTGGCCCTACGTAACAGCGAAGAGCCAGCTCTTGCCTGCATACCGGCATTCTAGTAAGGTAGCGTCGCTTAGCGCTCCCAGAGGCCTGCATGAAGATTAGCAACGCCGGTACAACGAAACGATGCTACCAGAAGCAAGCGCAATAGTCCTGAAATCAATCACCAATGTCCGACCGGGCATCCAGAGCTAAGGCAGGAGAGATTGGTTTCATTTGCGGGTTGGGAGACAGCCCATGAGGCTTGCCGTGTGGCTGAAGCGGTGGTTGGGCGAGAACGGGGGACGCCCTACAATATTGGATGTGACTGTGACGTCACATCTCACCTTGTTCGGTGAGTCTTGATTTCTGGTCCCATCTTGGACAAAACGACACGACACGACGTTCATCAATGATCAGCCACATCTGGCCAAACATGTCGCAAGGCGCTGGCCGCGTGATGCCCCCCCCCCCCCTCAAAATGGCACCTAAGCCTGCTTTCTTCCTTGCTGATCTGGGGGAGTCTGGAACCAGTTGAGCCACAGCGATCGCCACACACGTCGCAAGCCAATTCGAAGGGCGGCCTCTTGTAAGTCACATTCTAGACGATGCCGCAGTCCCGATGTTGCGCAAGTATTACTCATTCTTGTGTCTGCCAGTCCGAAGAAAGTACGGCAGAGAATGCTTCCATCAGTCGATGAAGTCACGCTGTTTGGATTCCATCCTTCCAAGAATCCCCAAGCCGCGATATGCTTCGGCCTACACGAATACTATTGTTTTCAACCGTAGTAGTTGGACCTAGTGGTCTCGGCCTTGTTAGCCTTACAATTTACTTTCCTTTGCCCAGGAAGCCGTCACATTGGCTGACGGCATTCGAAATTTCGCCAATCTTACACCAACAAGCCTAACCGCCAGCCAGAAACCCAACAGTTATCTAAAGAAATAAAAAAGCTCGACAAAGGGGCAATCACCGCGCTTCCTGCAGTGCAGGGCAAGGATCGTAAGTATTATAGCCCCGGGAAAAGGCTTGTTTCAAACTTCACGACCGGGTTGGTAGACAACCACATCCTATCAGAGTCATGCTAGCCTGACATTGTCTATTCCTCTGAGCCATTCCAGCCCCCGGTCTGATGACCTCACAAGGCTGGGCAGAGAGAGAAAGCAAAGCCAACACGGACTCCCGACAGCGTGCCACGAAGCCCAAACCCCGGTGACGTTTCTTTTCTAGCCAGTCTCGCCCTTGTTCCCTCCCTTTTCTCGCGTGTGCTACGATGCCGGTAGAGGAGGAGCCTAGGAAGTATCGTATCTTGGCAGGGACTATGCGCATGTACCGCCGCCGTCCTGCAGCAAAGGTCTCGGGACTTGTCTAGTTACACATTCTTCCTAGTCAGATAACACCTTTTTTGTTCCCCTTGCAAGATGTTGTTTGTCACAAAATGGGTAAGCCCAGCGGTTTAGTCAAAAAGTATCGGCACATCCAAGCCGTGATCCAGACGCATCTGCTGTGCTCGGCGGTGACGAGAAAGTCTGCAGACCCAGACCTCCAGGACCATGGCCTACCTATCCGTACCCAAACCTGCTTTCCCACCAGATCGTCATCCTGATGTGACTCTCTCCCTACTGGCCCGTGTCGCACAACTCTTCTTTAGCCTATCCTGAAGAGAGGTTGATAAATAGAGTAATATCATCTCATACATTTCCCTTTCACTCTGATTCTTCATCCATCCGACAACAAGATCAGCAGACTTTTCCCGTGCGACAAACCCTCCCATCATCCCAAGCCGCTCCAAATTTCTCATACCAGCTTCTAAGCTTGTAAAGGAACCGCCGTCACCAATCACAATGGCGATCGACCGTATTGTGCAGTTCGTCCTCCGCGGAGCTCAGCTCGTGTTCGCAGCCATCGTGGCTGGTATCACCGGCGCCTACCTCCACGCGACCCAAAACACCTCGTCGTGGGACAATGGCCGGTACATCTACACCATCGTGGTGGCCAGCTTGTCGCTTCTCTTCGCCTTGATATGGCTCCTCCCCTTCTCGGGAAGCTTCATCCATTGGCCCATGGACATCTTCCTCAGCATCCTCTGGTTCGTCGCCTTTGGTCTGCTCGTCAACGTAAGTTCATCATACACCGCCATTGTACTAGAAGTCAAATTCCCGATCAGAGCTAACATGCCATCTCCAGCTTGTCGGTGATGGTTGCGGTCCCATCTTTGATTGGAGCAATGTCAGCCCCCGCGGTGACGCCTGCGGTCGCAACAAGGCCAACATCGCTTTCTGCTTCCTGTCCGCCATCGTCTGGCTCGCCTCTGCCCTCGTCGGTCTCTTCTGGGTCCGTCGTCGCACCGCCGTCGCCGATAGCCGCCCCGCTCACACCGGCCGCCGCCGCTGGTACCGCTCTTCGCGTGTCTAAAGGCAGCGCGTGCGTAGCCTTTCGAATGCCTACTCAACTTTGATACCCTTGGCAACTGCTGCTCCTAGGCTTGTACAAGTCAAACGAGATCAAGTGGCAAATCTCCATCGCTGCCTACTCACGGTGTCCTGTTTCCACTTCCTTGATGGATGATGGGAGGAGGAAGGAGTTGGAGGGCTCGTTACTTTTTACCCTTTCCTGTTTTGCTTTGTTTACGAACGTATGAGAGAATGGCTTGACTCTTCACTGGAAGACCTGATACCCGATAATACCCTACCTCCTGTATCATATACCTAAGTACCTTAATATCACCGAATTGTGTTCTCGCTACAAGCTGATTGGGACATGCGACTTATCTGTTCCTGTCCCTTCTGTCAAACCTGTCGAAGATGGAAACGCTACTGACATTTACGAACACCTATGATGTATACTATGATGCGTTCCTCTCTCAGCTTCACTGGTTCTACGGATTGACCCAAGCGGTATGATGGCTATAATTGCGCCCACACAATGGGATTTATACATATACTTACCCATATGATATACGTATGGGTGCCTACACGTATCACTGGTCGATACAGCCACAAGTCAAGCCACAACCTATAGAAAACACTCGGACAACCCCTGATAACCTTATTCCCAATTCAGAGTGTCTTTTCAGTCTAGCATCACCACCCGATCCGGCTGCCGACAGCCGGCGCGAGGGAAAAAAGCTCCGCGGTCTTGGCAAATAGGCGATCCGGGGCAAGTGGGGTCTCCCGTCGGGGCCGCAGCCCTAGGAAGCCCGGATGAGTGCCGCGACGTTTCGGGATGCTGACTGGCAACTGCAGCCCACTTTGAGCGCTGATGGGACGATACCTTAGTATCACAATCTCTCTGAATTCTAAGTAGATCCATAGATGAGCGTTTGAGGTTAGAATACTACTCGCGCGAAAGAGGCAAGCGAGTTGCAGCTCAAGGACGATTTTCTCCAACATTTTCTCTGCCGATCGAAGCTTGAACATTGGCGTTATTGACGCAATTTTGGCCTTCTAATACCACCTATGTAGGTCTTTTTGACGATCTCGCAGCTCAAGTATGTGGAATTGTCTCTTTTGTCTACAATAATGAGCCTGCAGCAGTGCTATCAGGTACTCAGGTAACTACGTCAAGTAATCTGCCGACGCGAGACAAGCTCCTAAAACGTGTGCAACGGCGCAGAACCGTTTGACTCTCGATGAGACCGGTCTCATTCGGCAGTCAACGGGGTTCAACACTCGTTTGGCCAGACCAGCGAGTTTATGGCGGCACATGTCAGCTATCAAAGACACTAGAGGTCTGCGCAGTAGTGCGCAAAGTTGACTCCAAGCCCTTAGATCGTGAGATGTGCGGGATCGCCACCACTACTGCCAACATTTTCGTCTCGAAAAGGCCTCAATTCAACTATGAAGGTGGGATCATCCGGCCCATGAATCTGGACCAGTTGCCGACTTCAAGCGAGCCTAGGCTGTTAGCCCATTGCCGCTGCAATGGCAGCACCACAGTGACAGCGGCCCAATCTCTAACACATGAGAGACAACACTGGTGCTAGGAGAGGTATCGGGATGTGGTGAGAGACATTTAAAACAGGCGATCGCGGACGCTAGAAGTGAGAAGACGACGAAGGCTCGTGAATGACGTAGTTTCTGGGCAAACTGGGAACGAAGGATCAGACAACGTGGGAAGACTAGGCAAAGAAGTGCCGCAGCGCCCATCTGAGGAATTCCGCAGATATACTCCCAGAGATTGGGGAAAATAGAACCGTTGGAAGCGAGATGAAGGGAAGCGGGCAAACCAGACTACCTAGCCAAGATCTCACCAACAGCGCGAAAGCCCAGCCTCGGTTACTGACCGCCTCCTGGGAGCCTGGGGTCTCTTCTCACCTCACTTATGCAAGCCGCGGCCACCGCTTTTGCCCGTTCCGAAAACAGATGTGTGCTCCGCGAAGAAGCGTTTGAGAAGAGCCCCTCGTGATCCTTGATCACTGATGGACCGTGATGGCCTTGTGGGAATCTGCGGTTCTGGACCGCTCCAGAACGAGACAGAACCACAGGCCATGGCCCGTGTCTCGGGGGGCGTGAGGCGTCAAGCAGGTTTCCCCATACTCTGTTACTCCGTGCCTCGTTCGAAACTCCCCAAGCCACTGCAGTCTGATGCTCCCGTGAGCGGGGTTGGGACGGGGGCATCGGGAACCATTGGGTCGAAAGCATTGTACCATTGGCAATTGAAATTACGTAGGATCCCGCCTCCGAAGCTCTTCCCTGACGATAAGTGAGATCTCTCTAAAATTTCACGATCCGCGATCCCAGGAGGACGGGGGACCCGCGACGTCTGAACTCATACTCTAACCCCCGCCCCAGACCGCTTTCGAGCTAGGTACGGTTGCCCGTATCACCTTTGGGCTTTAGCTTCAACTGGGATTAGACTCTCCCTCTCTCCCCGAGTTACCACGGCAGAGAGAGCTTTCGAACTTTTTGGCTCGTTTCGTAAAAACGTGTGGTTGAAGAGGAGGGGCGCCGCGCCAGACTTTGCGGGAAGACCAGCGTGTTTTTGCTTCTTTCTCACTAGCTTGGCGTCAAAAAACAGGTCACGCATACCCTAAAGGAGAAGATGACTTAATTAGTGCGGGGGTTTTCTATGCAGAAGGAGTTTTTGTTTTTTGGCAGATCACTGTAAGGAACGGCGGCAAAGTTTACGAGGCTTGAGGTGTTGTGACTGTGTGCGAGGATGGGAATTGCGCAAATATGCCTTTGGTATGACCGAATTTCCCGGCGATCTTTCACCTTGGAGGGATGTTATCACGGTTATTTCTGGAGGTTATTTCGATGAGAGGGGGCCAAAAATGTAAGGGCGGCACGGCGGCAAGGGGCGGCTGGGTTTTCTGCATCCAGGTTCCTTGTCAGGATCTTCCAACCGGGACGGGGGTTGTCATGTTGTTCGGGTCTCTGTGTTGTCACCCTAGAAACAAACAGAGAGACATGGAGGGGTAAAAGGCAGCAAGACAGACGGACAGAAAGGTCGAGCTACTTGAGCTCAGTAAGAGATGTGGTGGGAAGGACAAGTCTCCGTATGTCTCACTCTGCGTGTCTACCCACCTCCCACCACACCTCCTTTGCGCTTCCTCCGGCTCCCTCCTGGCTGTCCGATGAGAGCCGCATGGCGTAATGCCCCGCAAAGCCGCGTTGAGGCGGGGTCAAGTAAGAAGGTCAGAGCAGGTTAGGTACATGCAGGCATTCAGGCCCAGCTAGCGCCACGGGCTTTCGAAAGGATCTGAGCAGTCGATGACCGCATTTTATGGAGTAGGTGACGCCACACTACGGCACAAATCTCACAACGAAGAAACACGAAAACACGAAAAGGATCAGAGGTCACTAGCCACATCACAATCTCCCATCATCTCCGGTCTGCAGTCCGGCTGTCCAATCATCGAGCTAACGCCACACGCGGGGCCGTCCAGCCGAGCTCTTGATGCTGCGTCATTGGAGGGGGCTTCCTTTCCGTTGCCTTGGTTCTGTGGATATCACATCACATCCCTGGCCGAGGCTGGAGCCACATACATACGCTTTCGGGAACGTCAAACCTCGATCCATGTCACATCACTCCACAAGTCCACCTCCAGTTCTCAACCTCTCAGACCTCTCGCTCCCAGAGGAACACGACACGACACGAACGAGAAAGCTCGGATCACGTCTTTTCCCCTCGTATGTACAACCGCCACCACGGATTGCGTTTGCCCGGCTCTGGCCCGTAGGTACCTTCGTAGGGCCATTGAGAGGTCTGCAATGTCTCACAGCTCCCACTCAATGGCTCGTAGCTGTTGGAAAACTTGCGACTTTCTCGCCGAATAGGCTGTGAGACACGACGCGCGGCGGCGCAGTCCGTCTCTCGTTTTGTCTCCAATGCTGCGCTACCCCAGTCAGATGCCAGCTCAGCTTGGCAACTCTGTCACGCTTGGACGAAACGGAAAGACGAACAGGAGCGCCAGGCGGAACAGCTGCGTACCTAGTTTCTGATTCTCTCTGAAGCTTTCCCCTTCCTCCACCACGTGCGGTAGCGTACCTGAGCAAACGCAAAGAGACATGCTTTTCCAGGTTACAGTCGTTACTCCAGTCCGAGCCAAAATAACCACACGTCTCCAATTCTTCTCCATTTGTCTTCGCCACATTTGCTGTCCATCTCGCAGCCCTATAACGTCACCAGCCACAGATCTTCATCCCCTCTCGAACCGTCGTGGCTCCGCCGTTCCTTTGGCCTATGACGACGAATCCTTGACATGTTACGTGCTGTTGAGCTCTTGGGAGCCCTCTTTAGGAACCCTGAGTACCTCTGTACCTTCATTCTCCATTGCCAAACCGGAGATTCCTCTGAAGGAAAGTAAAAAGGCTTGACGGAAACAAGCACAGTGTCACGCCAGACAATGCTTCTGGGTCGTCATCCAGCCATGGCAAACTGGGTCTAGTTCACCGGTTCCCCATTGGCCTGGGGTGGGGGGAGGGACCCCGGTCTGCCCTCCGGAGAAGATGTACCGCACTACCGACTGATGCTAGTCCTGGGGCCCAACGCCTCACCCCGACTGGCTGACAGTTTTTGAAGCTTGTAGTCCCGAATGAGACACCTGCGTCCAAGACCTATGACGATGTATGAAGTAAGTGCCCAAGCTGTCCCTCACCTCTGCGGCCACTTTCTCCTCCAAACCAAACCCATGCCGGCACGTACTGTGTGTATGGGCATTGGCGCTGGACTGGCCTAGACAAGCAGGCAAGCAGGCACGGTGATGCAGGTTCCTTGATTGTTGTCAGTCACAGCGTAGGCGTTGCAAGGGTGGTCACAGAGAGGAGTGAGAGAAGGACCAGCCACGGGGCTTGCTTTGCTTGCTGGATCGCGATCGTAATTGTATGATCTACCATCGGAAAGGAGTTTCGAAGATGCAGCTTCTCGATGTGCCTTTAATTCTATATAACCTCCAGAACCTCTCCTCCTCA